TGATGTTTTAGACAAGAATAATACTACAAGAGGAGTGGAAATAAGGACAGACAATGTTTTGAAGAACTAATTGATTAACTGTTGTGACGGGGAAGATGTGGGATGTGTATTTAGCAAATATTTATTAAGGTCTTCTCTGTGTGTTGGTTAAAATTTGGAGCCAGTGGATATACCCATTGCCTTCTTGGAGTTTTATCTTTACTAGAGGAACATATATAGTTATCAACAATCACCCAAACATAAGAGTGGAAATGTGGTAAGTCCACATAGCAAAAGCCTAAAGATTTCAAGGACACATAGGTTGGGGACTTGAGTTAGCGAGGGAGTGCAGTAGTGTGAAGTTTTCTCAATAGGACTTAATTAAGCCTCTTTCTAGGGCTTGGAATCTATGATTTCTTTAAACTGAGTGTTCTGAAAGCATTTCCCCCAGAAACCAGGGCTTTTAAACTTTTAAAAGCACTTGGTTAGCGAGAGGAGTAATGCTTTGGGAGAGCTGGTCCTAGTATTTATGGCTGGGGAACAAGAGTATTTGATTATGCTGAGCTTCGAGCATTTTCTTTTGATTATTAAAATCTTCTTAGCCAGCATTCTTTAAAATTATGTTCTGTTTTTACTTGGCCCAAGACAGTCTGCTCTCTGGACCTGATATGAACACCTTTAGTTACTTCTCTTAATTAGGTTGTAATATCAATGGGTATCCCTTTGGAAATATTCAGCAGTCAGTTGACATAGTGAAAATGGCACTAAATCAAGGAGAGTTTTGAGTTTTCGTAAATGGCACCGTGGCTGCGCTTTTCATGCCCCTGGCCTTCTCCTGTCATTTTGTTTCTTAGTCATGTGTGCGCTTCGTTGTAAGAATGTGAGGCAAAACATGCTTTCATTACTCTCCTAAACTTTCTTCCTCCTTATTTCCAGTATCTCTAAGGGTGTCTAAATGACTAAAAAAAATTTTAATCTCTTAGTCTGAAGCTTGGTGATCAAATCATCTTATTAACTGAGTCTCATGAAAAGTTGGGCAAGATGAGAAAGCATGAGTTTCTTGAGAATTCAGCGAGAAGGGGATAGGGCTTTTAGAAAGAAGGAGGTATTTTTGCTCTTTTGCTAAGCATTTAGCCCTCTACTTGTAATGAAGGGCTTCTGGCTAGGTTTGGGTAGGTGAAGACTCCTGTCAAGAAGGCAGAACATAAGGTATTTGGGCATGAAAGTATTAAGAACAGTTGGTCTTGGTCCTGTGAAAAAAGGAAACCAAAGGACTTCCAAGGCTCAGGGAGACTAGGGAAGACTGAGATTGACTAGGACATGGTGTAGTTACTTCCTGCCAAGGGAATGTGAGGCCAATAGTGCCAAGGCTGTGTACTGTGAGATCAGCAGAAGGCGGTGAGCCTGGACCCATTAACCGATAATCCCAGCTTGGTGCCTGCTCACCCTGCTGGCCGGGGCTCACCTTGGTCTTGGAGCCCTCCCCATTCTACTGTCTTCTGTGGCAGATGATTCACCTGAGTCCTGTGTTCTGAGGACACAGCTCTCTGTCTAGGGGTACCCCAGTCCATTTGACTCGGTCTGATGAACACTGAAGACAATGTAAGAACTACTGCAAGGTGCACAGGGCCTTGCAGCCCATGCGAAGATCTCACCACCCTTCAGCCTGGTGTGATTGCTATTCTTTTTCCTAGCATGAACCACTGAGAGATCCCAGCAAAATACATTTTGAGGGGAAGACAGACTGCTATGGAATGCTTTAGGCAGCTACTCCCACCCCTTCTGCTCACCACAGTAGCAATGGGAGGTAGCTTGACATGAGGGCAGCAGTGAGAACCCACTGTGGTTTCATGAAACTATGATTTATCACATCTTTATCTTAGCGCAAATTTCTCTTGGTTACATATGGTCTGTGTGTGTCTTCCAAGTTTTGATACATTTTACCGTGTGATAGACTCCTGTGGTTGTAAATGGTAAAGTGAACTCCTAACTACCTGTATATTTTGCATTCACGATGTACCTAATTTTTGATCTTTCTAAGGTTCCATGTTCATGTGGAAAGTTGTTCAAATTGCCACACATCCCCTCCCTTATATCCACAAACTAGTGGGCCTCTGTGCAGCTCAAAACCTGGTTGTGTGTATTATTCTGTAGGGATGGTGGGGCAGATATTTGACACCTTGAAACTATTGCCCCTGTACTGTTCACTCACTCAGTTATCTGGCGAAACTGTATCAAGAGCCTTTGGGTGCTGGGTGCAGAGTAGCCCCTGGAGCTGCTACATGTAAAAGCACTTCTAAGACTTTCAATCTGTCCATTTCATACTTACTAACTACCCTCATCCCAAAGGCATTGAGCTTTGACAGTTAAATATTCACAGCTGCTTCCTACTGACCTGAACCATGCAAAAGACATTAGTAAACAGACAGTAAAAAGATCTGAGGTTGGGGGAGGAGGTGCCCCACAGCGTGGTGATGAAATGGAAAGACACGGGTAACAGACTCTGAACTAGCACTGCAAGCTGCCAGCCAGTGCTCTCTAAGGATCATTAAAGAATAAAGAAATCCTATTTGAGGCTGCCAACCTCAGAGCTAAGTTATTTAGAATGGAAAAAGTTGGCAAATTCAGAACTACTCAACCCAAGGAACTGGTATCTTGTGACTTTTATGGCCACTGTAGTTTGAGATCCAGCACCACAAAACTGTGTACAATATTAATGAGTGAGGAGAGCAGAGAAGGGTCATAAAATCTGAGCTAAAAGCAGAGAGGTCTGTGAGAAAAGGAGGAGTGGGCCTCAGTGTGTCCCGGTTGTCAGGGCGGGCAGGGGAAACAGGAGGCGGAGCCACCTTCAACAACAGACACCTGGAGCTCTACCCGCAGTTCACTTTACCTGTGAAAATCCATGAGGACTTCACTCCATCTAGCCTTCCACTGTCCGTCACCCTCTCTTCCCCAATCACCCTGGAACGCTTTTTCTCTACATTTCAGTATATTCTTGAGTGCCAGCTGTAAACTAGGCACTGTACTGTGCTTGAACATCACATCCCGTTTCCCTTCTACCACCTTCACTTGTTTGCACGTGCCTAGGAAATCCTGGGCCCATGTAACCTATGTGGTCAGAGGTGACAGGCAAAGTTTTTTTTTTTTTTGTTTGTTTGTTTTTTGTATTTTTTTTAAGGGAAGGATCTGCAGGGTGTTCAGGGTCTCACTACTAGATCAGACTTGTAGTGATACGCCTGCTTTACAACCTCCTAAGAGCTGGGATTACAGGGGCACACCACGATGCCCAGTGTCAATTGCTGTCTTAGTGTGTCCTGGGGTTGGGGCTGGCACGGTAGGCCCGGGGATTGAACCCCCAGCTCCTGCGCCTGCTTGTGGTGCTTTAATCTCCTGAGCTACTTGGCTAGCCCCGTGACAGACAAAGTTATCCTCACCCCCCTTCTCCTCATTTCTCTTGCAATCTCCCTCAAGTCAGCTCCATGGAGGCCGTTCTTTGCCCTCATGTCATTAACCCCAGCAGCTCCAGATTTCTTCTTTTTTTTTTCCACCTGTTGGTTACATAATAAGTTCTTTAATATGTATGTTACATAGATTTTAAACATTTTTTAAAGCTCATTGGTACATTTTACATATACATAACGATCACATTCATTATAGGGAGTTTGTACCCGTACCTGATACATCATGATTCCTTTTTTTCCCAGTCTCCTCCCCTCCCTTCAACCTCTCTCTCTGTCCATTTCTATAAAGCTCCAGATTTCTTCTTGACTTTCTTCTTTTATCCTCTTCTCTATGTCTGCAGCCATTTCTTCCCAGGTGGTCTACCTTTGAAGCCTTGCAGGTTCCGTCTGGTCTAAACAAAACAAAACAATCACCATACCAAATAAAGCCGCCCTTGTCTTATATTCTGCTCCAACCCTCCTGTCCCTTTCCCTTTCCATTCACATCTAAATTCTCAAGGAAGTGGCCTCGCTTCCCTTCTCCACCTCACATCTGGCTGCTCTTCCACCCTTGGCCTTAGTTTGTGCCTCTGCCATTCCCTAGGAACTCTTTGCTCAGCATCTTGTTCAGATCCATTTTTCATTATCAGTTCTTGTTTTATTGGGCTTCTCTCCCCCATTTGGCCTTGTTGTCCACTTCCCTCCTTAATGCTTTCCTAAAGATTTGTCCGTGTTTGTTTGTTGCTTCTCTTAGAACTGGACTTTCTTACTGTTCAACTTTCAATTTAATTTGGGGGATATGTTTCTTCCATGAAACTTTTAAAGGTTGAGATACCCATCTGGTCATCTCCACACTTCTTATTCCATATATTCTTCAAGAGGTCGATTTAATATTGAAGAATAGTATCTTCAAATTATAAAGTCAAGTTATAAAGATCTAGGGTTACCTGGTAACAATAATGGAAAAAAATCTAAATTTTCAGTATGTGTTCCATATTGTTCTTTAGGTCTTCTGAATTCCAAATGTTTCCGCTGTTTTATGCTTCATTTCCATTTCCTAACGACTCTTTGTAGGGTCTAAAATGGGAAGGAGGCCAAGGAGATGGCTCAGTGGAATAAGTGCTTCCCTGGCAAGCACAAGGGCCTGAGTTCAATCCCTGGTTTCACCAAAAATACAAAACAAAACAAAACAAAAAGTTAGATAAAATGGGAAGGAGCATTGGCCCCTAATGATTCTAATTGTGACTCCTTGAGAAAATGAAGATGTCTATTAGAATCCATCCTTTTGCCATTTTTCTGGGTAGTAAGTTCTGGAGTAGCCAGTCTGGTTCTTAAGGAAGTTTGCAATAAACAATTTTCCTCAAGGTTAGTAAAATAGGCAAACATCTTTTGCTGCAACAGATGGGAAAAGGTGCTGAAAGACTGGCTTATATTATGATTCATTATTTCAAAGTGTCAGAATAAAGTGGGTTGGCTTCATCTCCCAAGTTTTTGCTTATTTAGAAGGGAGTGCATGTTTCGCCTTTATAATGCTGATGGATTCACTGTTTTTTTTTCCTTTTCTTTACTTTTTTTTTCCAGGCCAAATTCAGGTAATCGACGCCAGAATGGCCGAGAGAGGTTGGCCAGCAGCAGCGACAAGGGAAGCATAACCCTGGAGTCTGCCAAAGAGACCCGCTACTGCGCAGTGTGCAATGACTACGCCTCCGGCTACCATTATGGGGTCTGGTCCTGTGAGGGCTGCAAGGCCTTCTTCAAGAGAAGTATTCAAGGTAGTAGTGTGTTGAAAACAACTTACTCTGTTTTGGCCCTAAGAGCACAAGGAATGGAGGAAGGAGGATGTGATCAGCCATTGATATAAAACAGGAACACATAGTAGGTTTACTGGTATTCTTGGTAGAAACGGGGAGAAGAGGCAGCATCTCAGGAGAAGCTGTCAGGTGCCAGTGCAACTGTGGCTGAGTAATTCTGCTTCTTCCTCTGGCAAGATCCAGACAGTCGTGAGCCGACTCTCGGCGGAAGCTTTCGGTAGCTGGGTCTTTGAGGTATAAAGAACTGCTGCCTTTGCCCTGGCTGGTGAGTGGCAGGGGACATTCAAATTCTACCAGCCACTCCGCTGAGGATATAGCATCATACTGGTTGTCTGTGCACAATTTTTTCCTCTGTCTTGGCCTTGCTCTGATCTTTGCTCCAGACCAATTCTAATTCAGCGTGTTCTCTTCCTCTCCTCCATCTCTTTCTTGTCTCAGTGGGTGACATGACCTTTTGCTAACATGAGCAGATTTGATGTCTGGTGACTTGTAATAGGGGAAGTATCCTCTGTACCAAGTAGTTATTAAGTATCCCACAGTAACATTTTGTTCTCCTGCCTACCGCAATCCTTTTCTTGTAGAGAGTTTATCAATTGTGGCTTCTCTGGTATTCTGCTAGCTGCATTTTATTTCCACTCCAGGGATTTCTATATCGTTGCATTATATAGGACATCACCTCAGGGGACATCAATCATTTTTGAGGAAATATCTATGCTAAAAATGCTTTGTCTGACAGGAAAAGAGGTCTGACGGCAGCTTAGGTTTATTGAATTTGCTTTTTGTCTCCATAATGGGTATTTTTCTGCTCTTATATTTTTACTTTTTCATCTTAAGTGAGGTTTGCTGTATGAATACTAAGAACACTTCTGATGGAGTTTTCATGTGATTCCCTCTACAGAAATCTAGACTTAAGTAACTTCTTGAAAACCATAGTCTGCTAAATTAATAGACACTGACTGAAGGAGTGATTCTCAGACTTTTCTGCTGTGGCTCTTCACTGCCCTGAAATCAAGTTAAAACTTTAGGGATAGTCTACGCTATTTATGTTTTCTTACATTGTCAGTGGATTTTTTTTTTTAACTGTATCTTAATAGAGTAGTGGGTAAGGTCATTGTAGTCCATTTTCAAGCATTTTCTTTGATGCTTATTGCTTTCAACATCTTTTAGAACTCTGCAGTAAGATTTGGACTTTTTTGTCGATGCTTTTATAAAAAGTGGCAATATTCTCTGCATTAATCAGGGTGTGTTAGGTATGTAGAGACGATTAATTTTGTTATCTTAATTCAGAAAAGGGGAAGTTATGCCTCATCTTGGTACAAACTCTTAAAGGTATCCTGGCAAATGTCTCCATTTCTGGTTTTAGTGTTTGATTTTATATAATCTAAAGTATCTTTATTTTCACCAAGCATTTAACTTGATAAGGAAATAGAACCTGATAAAGAGATAATTAATATACACATTCAGCTATACACATGGATGAGTCATTTATCTGGGACTGAATTCCCTCATCAATAAACATGACATAGAGCAGTTATCATTTAAGTTTTTCTGTAAATGGGCCCAATAGTAACTACTTTAGTCTTTGCAGATCATACGATCTCTGCCACATCTGCTCAACTCTGGTATTGTAGTCTGGAAAGAGTCACAGGCAAACATGAATAAATGGAAGTGGTATTTGCCAATTAGACTCTATGAAAGTAGGGAACTGAGTAGAAGTGGTTGTGGGCCATAATTTTCTGACCCTAGATTTAATTTTTATTTGATTTTATGTATCCTAAATACCAGAATTTATGGAAAGGAAATTGGTTTTAAATGTAAAGCTTTGATTTTTTCCATGTTTTATTGAGAAGTTATTCTTTACCAGTCTAGGTGTACTGTGGTAAGTTGAAAAATGTGTACGGTGCAATTCATGCTCCAAAATAAATTTAGAATTTATTTGGGATATTTGTTTGGGAAAAGAAGGTGCTTGTTTTCATGGTAAAACTAGGAAGCAAGTGAGTGTAGACAAATTTACCTACTATAAGATAAAGATAAGAAAACAATAGATGAATATAAGAGAGGAAAATTATTGAATGTAAAAGAATACTGACCATAAGGGAAGAAAATACCATGCATTTCAGATTTTAAAATAATGGTATCGACAAGAAGAATGACTGCCTTCCAAGGAATGATTGCAGTATTTTAGTATTTTATTCATGCAGCATTATTTCAGATTCAAATATTAAAACAACTTCCTGCTTACATTTTGAGAGTGAAAAATATGTCTCTACCTTGCAAAGACTAAAACAGAAGGACTACATTGAAAATTGCTCACATAAAAATGCAATTTCTACTTTGTTTGAGAAATTTCTTAGGTATTATGATATGGTCACCTACAAGATTTCTTAAAGGGAATATTATTGAGTCCAAAGTTACAGAAAAAAAAACTGGAAACAAGACAGAATTACTAACTTTAGAGATAGAGAGGGACTTTAAAATTATTAAGTTCATTAATTTATTCATTTATTAATTGAATATTTCATCATCATCAGGGAAGGCACTGATATAATGTTAGAAAAAAACCTAGTCCCTACTCTCATTGAACTTATAAATCAGGGGTAGGAATGGATGAATAAACCAGAAGTTAAATTACAGAGAGATTTGTGTCAAGGTGGGTGTGAATGCAGGTTCTTATGGGAATTAACACTTCATTCATTTCCAGAGAGGGATGAGTAAGGCTTTCAGAAAAGTTTTGATTGAAATAAACACTGAAGGATGAATCAAGTGTGAAAAATGAAGGAATGAACGGGTGCTTAGTCATTTGAATGAACATATTTGTGAAGACCAGGAGGGGAGGGAGGGAGGGAGGGGGAGAGAGAGAGAGAGAGAGATCCTGTGACTAAGAATTAACTGAATTACCTTAGTTTTAGGTGACCTTAGACTGTATAAAAGCAAAGTAAGTGATCTCCTTTTTATTTTATTGGCACAATTTGCTTGTGCTTACATAGGAAATATAACAAAGCACATTTCAGGGTTGCTAGTCCTGTTTTCTCATCAGAATCTTGATAACTTGGAACTAAAAAGTTTGCCTGAACTTCTGGGGCTCTTTGTAAATCACGCTGTCCTTCAAACACATTGAAGGACAGTGAAGGGGCTGACACGTAGGTAGGAAGTTCTGAAGATGCTGTGACTCTCTCTGTTGTGCGTGTTACTTAAGAGGAGAGGTAGGAATGAGTATACATCAGCTTATTCTCATGTTCTGAGTGTTTTGGCTGAAGAGGTAAAGTGTTTAACTTGAAAGCATACAAATTTTCATCTACTACTTAGTGTATAAACTTGATTACTTAAGAAATTGAGTAATGGCTTCCAGTGGAACTTTTTAAAAAGCAAAGTCAAGAATGCTATTTAGTTTGGGGGGATACAATTGAATATTTCATGAATTTATTAATCTTGCAGGCATAGTTATGCTTTAAGGTGTGTTTTAGTAATAGACAGTGGAATAAGTTATACAAATGAGTAAGTTCTAATTTTAGAAGCCAGGTATACTTTTTGAGTATTATTCCATGGAAAAAGGATGCTACTGAACTCATGACACCCCCCTCCCCCAGTGCTGGGGATTAAACGCAGGGCCTTAAACATGTTAAGTACATGATCTACCACTGAGTTACACTTCTAGTCCAGCTCGTTGCTTTTTTACATTATTATATTTGAAGGATATGCCTAAGCTTATCTGTATACCACTAGTGTCCTGACACTTGATATTCAGTCAGGTCTAAGCAGAGGTTGCTCAACATTAGTTCAAACAGGTATGGATAAGGCTGATATCATATCAGAGTAGATGGCTGTGGGAGAAAACATGGAGTCTGGTTGTAGGGGCCTTAGGTCTGACAAGGGTAACTGATAGCATGATCTACCCAGGTCTTAGAAAACTTCAGGGTGAGACAGTCCAGCACCCTGGATAGCGCCAACAGTAGTTGCTGAGGGTAAGCAGAGACTTCTGAGGTACAGGATCTCAGGATAAATCCTGAGGGGATTTCACTGACCTTATCAGACCCAAAAGCTACAACTCTTGTTGCATAGGTCCTGCTTTACCTTAGTCTTAACCATCCAGCAGAAAAGTATAAAAATGAAGTATAAGAAGTAAAGCCATGGTGTTATGTTGAGCTGTAGGGGACTCAGGTCAACAATTTTTGACATTGCCAGTGAAATGAAAGACCCAATACTATTATGGACCTCCGAACTCTTTTAGAATATTTTCCTGAGTTTACACACCTATAATATTTAAATGATGGAACTTCACAAAAAAGGGGGATACAGATGAATGTTCATTTGGTATCTGTGTATTCAAAGTGGTTAGGATAGATATATAGTTACATTCTCTTAATGAATAGAGGGATTTGTTCTAATGGTGTTTGTAAATAGGATATCATGTCCGCATCTTGTACAGCAGTTAACCACTAGGAAGAGAGTATGCAATGTGTTAATTATTGGAACTGTCTTACCAATTTGGTTTGAAACTCTCTCATTGCTATTTGTTTCTCAATAAAATTATGGAAAATAAAATAAAATAAATTAAAATAAAATAAAGAACCTGAGGTCCATTTAGCTGATTACATCTGCTTTGTGGAGCTCTGTTCAAAGAGACCTCAGTCACTTTAGAATTAGAGACTCACTATTCACTGTGAACAACAGTGATGGATTTATTTTTACATTTAGTTTCACATTGATGCACCCAAGTCTGGAAAGGGTTAGAAGTGGAGGCTGTTCTTTCAGCCCATGATTATTTTGTCTCTGTGGTTTTCTCAGAGATGTGACAACATATGCAATCAATATTAGGTCTTTGTTCTTCATATGTCCATATTGTCCCTCTACAGTCCAGTTTTCATGCGGTAAAAGAATAGAATTTACAGTTAATCAAATCATATGATCTTGAGTTTAAAACTCTTAACGCACTTAGAGAAAAACCTCTTCTATGTCTTTGA